GTTGCTAATGAAACCTTATTTCCTAATGGGAAATGCGATTTCCTGGAATGTCACCTAGGTGTGGGCAGGAGTTGAGTGCCTGTGCACATGCCTGTAATCCTAGCCCCTCTGTAACAAAGCTTCTGAGGTTCCAGTAGCTTTTCTGGGAAATGTCCTGGGCAGACCACTACTAAGAAACTACGCAGGCTATGTACTTTCTTGTCTCATGCCAAGCTCCTGTGAGAAGTCCCCCATGAAATCAACAGGTTCAGAGGGGTGCCAAGTATTCCACAACTCAGCCAGGAATAGCTGAACAGTCCCGGTTTTGAAGGGGGAACACTCACTTTTTGAACACAATATCCAGCACTTGCTCCATTGTTGCCCACTGTCTATAATTGTGGAGGAAGTTCCCAACATAGAAGAGATCGCCTTTCTGGTAGGCAGGGACCAGGTTCATCACCAGCATGTCCAGCAGGCCTGCTTCCGGGCTCCATATATCGCATGGCACATTCAGGGTCAGGGATGACTCATTGGCACACTAAGGCGAGACAAAGAATCAGAAAAAAACCATGGAAATGAGAACACTTCCAAATGAGTAACTGTGATAGAGTAGATTGAAAACTATGCAGACAGTATTATCTCAGTACATAGAAGGTTCTACTGTGGACCAGGTTGGGGTTAAGTAGGTTTTCTATCATGAGTATACCTTGCCTGAGTTGCCTTGTGATTTCCTAGGTTTCTTTTTGGACAAATCTCTGAGATGGTTGGTTCGTGGCTTGCCACTGATCCAGTGTCTACAGCTTTGACTGAGGCACCCATACTTCTCTTGGCTGAGACCAGAGTCTCGAGACCTGCGAATACAGCACAAGAACATGTTTCTGGCTCCTGAGTCACAGGCCAAGTGAGCTGGCTTGAGCCAACTGTGAGTTACCGTGGCCTGCTGTCAGGGTTCCATGTTCTATTCCATTGTGAAGGATGCAGGGTCACCTGTCAGGGCCAATGACCTCTGCCACTTCCTCACACAAGAAATATTCCCATCCACCCAATATTGCAATGTGTACATGTAGACAAGTTAACAGCACATCTTGTTTGTGAAATCCTAATCTACTCGCCCTAGGTTCTGGCATGTTCTCAGCTTCCAGGAGTCGCTCCTAGGTCACATTCATGGCCTATCTGTCACTATTCCTCTCATCTGGCTCAAATCATTTGGTTTCTCAGGGCCTTCTGTGACTGCCACATCTTT